TGCATGAAGGACGTTATACAAATGCAAGTTTTTGTTGGATTAGCATTGGCAAGATGCCAATAAATATACAGTCACTCCACTTTCCAGTGTATCCTGTGAAGTGCTTGTTTCTAAACCTATTGGCTTTGCAGATTGATCAGATAAGTGGGGAAGATTCCATCCATCAGTAAGTTCAATGGATGAGCCAGGCAGCATCAATCTAATAAGCTTTAGATGAGTAAGTATTGATACCTTCCAGCTTCCTTGTGTCTTTCATGTTTCAAGTCTCAAGATATTGATGTTAAGAAGAATCAAGATATTTTAGGGAGGGGTTTTGTTAGATCAGTTTTCAATTTTACTTATTATTTCAGCATCTGCTGGTCAACTTCTGTTATAAACGTAACTTTTGTATAATTAAAGTATAATCTTTTATTTGTTTGTAAACATGTAACACAATAATCACATTCATGTGGTGATGAATTGTTGTATAACTTGCTCACAGCATCAAGCCAAACATGAGGTCAACTTGCAATTGTACAAGACCTTGATGAGGCTACAATTGGAGTATTGTGTACAGTTTAAGGCACCTCATTATAAGAAGGGTGTGCAAAAACGTTATAAAAATTTTCATCCATTCAAAAGGATGTTAATAATAATAAGTTTTAAATTTGGTATTATGCCTTTCACATCATAAAGGTTTCCTAGCATTTCACAGCGTATACTGTAAAATGCAATGACTGACTATGTTTTATAGGTGAATGCGACAGCCTGTTTGCTCACAGCAATATCCCACAAACAACCCTGACGTGAATGACCAATTTTATTCGGGGGATTGTTGTCCATGACACCAGGAAAAACTCTCTTCTAATTTCAAATAGTGCGATGGGATCTTTAATGTAGATCTGAACAGGAAGATGGGGCCTCGGTTTAACATCTCAGGTGAAGGAAGGCAAGTCCAACAATGAGGCACAGCCTCAGCACTGCATTGGAGCGTCAGCTTAAATTGTGTGAGTCCCAAATCCTGACGTGAGGCTTAACCATGTTACCAAGGATGAGGAGGTGTAGCTATGAAGGGAGACCTGAGTAGTCAGTTTATTTTCACTAAAGGTGAGAAGTTTAAGGGATCACCTTATAGAGGATATGGGGAGTGATCTTATATAAATATAACAGTGCAGACTTGATGGGACAAATGACCAGTTTCTGTGCTGCAACATGTTTCAAAGGAACATGATTGATTTGTGTGCCTTTTCTTTGTTCTCACACAACAGAATAATTTGCCAAACATGAGAGTGGCTTTCTTTTAATGACAACACAGTGATTAAACAACTGCTCTGATGTGTATCTAAAAGTTTATTCAGTGAGTGAGTTCCTGAGCAATATACAGTAGTCCTAGGTTTGATCCCCGCCTGCACTGGGTTAGTTGATCTCTGTTAAACAGCACTGTGGGTACAACATTTGGTCTCAGTACCAGGATTTTGAAAGGTAAAACTGCTACGCAGTTGGCTGAAAAAACTAAAAGGTAGGAGAGAGATCGAGGGAACAGGATTGGAATACATAGCTCCAATGGGGAGCTAGCTCCAACAGAGAGGAGAGACCTAGGATTGAATGGGTTTTCTGTGTTTAATCATCCTTTTTTTTTACTTGCTGGAATTACATGTGGGTGTATATTGGTTGAGACCAGGATTGGGCTTGGCTGTGATGCCCTTTGCTTGCAGTCAAACAACCTGAAAATATTTACTGTCAAGGCTCACATATAACTACTGTAATTATTTGAAGTACTGGAGGGTGCCTGGCACTCGGAATCATGCCAGCGTAAAAAGAGAAAAACATCCTGTATAATATCAGGAGATCAAGGAATCTGGACATAGCCGGTAAGGGGGGAGAGGTGGAAATTTAGTAACACAGGTAGCAGATTTAGTAACATAGGTAGTAGCGGGCTTGTTATCATGCGTGTTAGCCTGGCTCAGTTTGTTGCACTTTCGCCTCTGAGTCAGAAGTTTGAGGAACGTTGGGACTAGGAACTCATGTAGTCCAGGATGACACTCCAGTGCAGTGCTGGGGTGGTATTGCATTGTCAGAAGTGTCATCCCTTCAGATGAGATGCTCAACCCATCATTGAATCTGCCTGCTCAGCTGGATGTTAAAGACCCCACGCAGTGGCCCACAAAATATACCGCCCGTTCACTTTACGGAATATTTCTGCAAAGCGTTTCGGGACGTCTCGAAGACGCGATGAGGCGCCAATATCAAACGCAAGGCTTATCATTGCCCCAAAGGAGAAGGGAGTTTCCCCTTCTCCCCCCCATCCCACTCGGTGTCCTGTGCAAGAGTCTCCCGAGCGCAACCGGCCATTCGTTTAACGGACTGTCCGCCGGGACGTTGCTGCCACGTGTGCCCACAACCGTAACGCAGTCATAAAATCCTTCAAAAGGCTTGGTGGTGGGGCGGGGGGAGAGGCGGGCGGGGGGAGTGGGGGGGGTCCTGGCCTCCTGTGCTGTGCACAGTGAGCTCTCCTGTGGCGCTGCGCCTGTGTAATGCGCCCCATTCATTCCACCCATTCATTCCGTCCTGGGCCCTGAGTGGGGGGGGGGGGGGGCGGAGGGGAGGGAGTTGGGAGGTGGGGGGGGGGGAGTGAGGGAGGGGGGTAGGGAGGAGTGGGGAGGGAGGGTGGGGTGGAGTGAGGGAGTGGGGGGGGAGGGTGGGGGGGAGTGAGGGAGGGGGGGAGGAGGGGGCTGGGAGGGAGGGAGTGGGGGGGAGGGAGTGGGGGGGGAGGGAGTGGGGGGCGAGGGAGTGGGGAGGGGGGGAGGGAGTGGAGGTGGGGGGAGGGGGGGAGGGAGTGGAGGTGGGGGGAGGGGGGAGGGAGTGGGGGGGAGGGAGGGGGGGGGAGGGAGTGGGGGGAGGGAGTGGAGGTGGGGGAGGGAGGGAGTGGAGGGGGGGAGGGTGGGGGGGGGGGGGGGGGGGGGGGGGGAGGGGGGAGGGAGTGGGGGGGGGGGGGGGAGGGAGTGGGGGGAGGGAGTGGGGAGGGGGGGAGGGAGGAGGAGCCCGGGAGGGAGTGGGGGGAGGGTGGGGGGAGTGAGGGAGGGCGAGCTAGTGGGGGGCGAGGGAGTGGGGGGGGGAGGGAGTGGGGGAGGGGGGAGGGAGTGGAGGTGGGGGAGGGGGGAGGGAGTGGGGGGGAGGGAGTGGAGGTGGGGGGAGGGTGGTGGAGGGAGTGGGGGGGAGGGAGGAGGGGGAGGGAGTGGGGGGGGGGAGGGGATGGGGGGGGGGAGGGAGTGAGTGGGGGGGAGGGAGGAGGGGGGAGGGAGTGGAGGTGGGGGGAGGGGGGAGGGAGTGGGGGGGAGGGAGTGGAGGTGGGGGGAGGGAGTGGGGGAGGCCCCGCCCCGTATGCAAATGAGCCGGCGGCGCGGGGGCCAATGGGGAGGCGCGGGCGGCCCGGGGGCGGGGCTGTCGGGGCGGCTACATTAACGTGTGTGTGTGTGTGAGTACATTCCAGTGCGGAAGCGCTGCCCCGGACAGCGCTCACAGTGCAGCGCCGCCACAGAGACAGAGAGGGGGAGAGGGGGAGAGGGGGACCCACTGCAGCTCCACACAGCGACTCCGCTCACAGCATTCACACCGCCCTTCTCGTTTCTTTTCTGCTCTTCCCCCCAAAAAAACAATCAGCCACAGCCCACCTACCTCTCTTCTTTTTTTTTTTGACCATCCACCCACCCATCTATCCATCCCATCCATCCCATCCAGCTTCGCGGAGGGCCAACTGCAAGCGAGGAGGTGCTGAGAGAGAGAGAGAGGGAGGGAGGGAGGGAGAGAGAAAGAGGGAGAGGGAGAGAAAGAAAGAGAGAGGAGGGGAGAGAGTGCAACAATGCAAACATTTCTCTCGGTGCTCACCTTCCTCCAGGTGTCCGGGGCAGAGCGATCGGAGAGATAAAAGAGACACAGACAGAACGAGAGAGAGAGAGAGAGAGAGGGAGGGAGAGAGAGAGGGAGAAGAGAGAGAGAGTGGGACACACAGTGGAAACGATGTTTTGTTGATGCATTCGTTCTGCTGCTCTCGATTCTGATTCACTGGGAGAGAAAGAAAAGTGGGGGCTTTGCTTTGCGATCTGGACTGGGGGGGTGGTGGGTGGGTGGGTGGGTGGGGGTTCAGGGGGGAAATAGTCGTTCCCCCCCCCCACATAAAAGAAGAAGACCGGTTGTCAGGACTTTTGGACGGGTTGGCAGCTCAGATCTGATGCGTTTTGAGTCGGTGTGTGTGGCGCTGGATGTGCTCCTCCCAAACCCCGAGTGGTTCCCTGTGTGGCTGTGACGGGCTGTCAGTGACAGGGCTGATGGACGCTTGAAAGGAAATCAATCAATATCTGGTGTTGTGTGTGAGTGTGTGTGAGTGAGTGAGTGTGTGTGTGAGTGAGTGTGAGAGCGAGTGTGTGCGGCGCCGTCTCTCTTGAATCATCTGTGGGGCTGTTTGTGGTCGAGCGATCCGAAGCTATTCGGTGACGGGATCATTCATTTGGTTGGTTTACATTGTGCTCAAGACCCCGAAGCCTCTTATATATATATATATCTAATACATATATATATATAGAGAGGAGAGAGAGAGAGAGTGACGAGACAGAAGGCGCTGTTGATGATACGTATTGTCTGGAACTGGTTTCTGTGATTTTTTTTTCCAGGGATTTTCAGTGCTGATCCGCTGAAATCCCAAACAGACACAGACACACAGACACACACACACACACCGCCAGGACACCAAAGTTTGGAGACTCAAATCCGTCGCCTTTGCAGTTATCCGAACCGAGGAGTAGTAGTGGTAGTAGTAGTTTTTTTTTTTTTGCATTTCATTTCATTTTTGCATTTTTGCTTTCCACGTCTATTTTTTTTAAAAAAAAGAAGGGATATCTTGCGTTTTTGCTTTTAATTTTTATTTTTCCCCCTCTCCCACACCCCCACCCCCACCCCCCCCCCCCACACCCCCCGCCCACCCACCCACCCACCGCCGACGAACGAACGAACGAACAACAACAACAACAACGAAAACATACACATACATACATACATACATATACCCTGAAGTTTTATTCAAGTGGCAACGATGATCGGGGTTGGATGCGGGAGTGTGCTGCACTGGTTGCTGCTCCTGCTGATCGGGACTAACACTTGGAGAGGGGTCGCTGGTCAAGTTTGCCCGAACCACTGTACCTGCGCCGGGACGGCGGTGGATTGCCACGGACTGGGACTGCGCTCGGCTCCCAAAAGCGTCCCGAGGAACACCGAGAAGCTGTGAGTATCGCCTCCCGCCGATGGACGGGGGACTCCGGGTCCCTCGACCACCCCCACCCCCCCACCCCCTGTGTGTTGGAATTGCTGAGCGATCCGGTTGCTGGTGTTTTATTTTTTTTATTATTTTCTCCTTCTCCAAACCCTCCTCCTCTCCTCTCCCCCCGATCCGATCTGCTCTTCACACACCGACTTTACACGCAGTCGGTGCAGCGCTGAGAGCCGCTCCGGCTCTGCAGTGACTCCGCTCCGACTGTGCACCGACTCCGCTCCGCTCCGCTCCGGCTCTGCACTCGCTTTGACCGACAAGCGAACGGGTTCGTGACCGTTTTGGGCGATCGTTTCGGATCCTACACCCCCCCACCCCCCCCCCCCCCCCCACACACCTCCCCCTCCCCTCCCCTCCCTCCCCTCCCCGGGTGTGTACACCGAGCCCTCCGGGTCGCCTGAAGCCACAGGGATCTCACACACACCTGAGCCCGTGGGAGAGGGATCTGTGGGAATCCCAGAGTTGGAGGTGTAAAACCATCCGACCATGTGAACTCGGTGTCGGTGTTGGTGTCGGTGGGTGGTTGGAGGGGGGAAACCGGTAATAATTTAAGACGAGAAGGAAAATGCATCTGCAAAAAGCGGGTTTGCAATGTGCCAGGAATCCCGCATCGCATTCCCACCAAAGATCCCGCGATGGCGGTGATGGTGTTTCAAAGACCGCATTGAATCCGGAGTGGAAACACCTGGAGACGAACTCGCAGATCGCGGAACAGACACATTTAAACGCTGGAGTTTTTGGATGACTTTGAACTCTCGGCCCCGACTGTTCGCAGCTGCACCGGGAAGGGCTGTGTGCACAGAAAAGATTTATCACCATCTTTTGCATTTGTCTTCTCATCCTAAAATACAGGAAGAGGGGGGTGGGGGGTGGGTGTTGGGGGGTGGGGGTGACCCAGGCTGTGAGTGTGCACGTTGTTTTAAAGGTTTATTATTATTATTATTATTATTATTATTATTATTATTAAACTCCCTTCAGTCCCTCTCCTTCCGTACGAGCTTCCCCTTTGCTGACTGACTGCCCACCTGGAAGGATTTCAATCGCTGAAGCCCAGGAGAGAGGACATTTCTGCACAGCAAATAACTGCTAATGGGTCTTGACTTCTGGATTAGGAGAGGAGGGGGTTTGCGGGGGTTGGGGGGTGGGAAGAGATTGCTGATAATTTGGGATCATTCAATGCATATGTGAACATGTAGCGACTCCCCCCCCCACCCCCCACCACCTGAATACCAGTATTTACGATTTATTAGAAAATAGTTTGAAATTGTTCCCCTTCGAATAGTGAATCTTGGTTTGGTTGTGGATTGGAAGTGGGGATCCCAGTCTCTGCTGTTATCTATCTTCCCCCATCACCCCCCCCCCCCCCACCCCCCATTTTAAGACTGGAGATTAATGGAGAGAGTAAAGTGGACAGACAGCAAGAACAAGTGCAGGACTGGTCTGCACTCTCTCTCTCTCTCTCTCGGGGCACATTAGGAAGGATTGTGCCCTCATTGAGCTCAGTCAGTGGGATGTGTTAAGTTAGATTGGATGTGGAGAGTTGGCTGTGCTGTCACTGTCCACATTTACACACACATTGCCTTCCCCCTGTGGGTACTGATCATTTTATTGACAGTGAAGGTTTGCTGCCCTTCTCTGCTGTATGTATGTATGTATGTATGTATGTATGTATGTATGTATGTATGTATGTATGTATGTATGTATGTATGTATGTATGTATGGTATGTATGTATGTATGTATGTATGTATGTATGTATGTATGTATGTATGTATGTATGTATGTATGTATGTATGTATGTATGTATGTATGTATGTATGTATGTATGTATGTTTGTATGTATGTATGTATGTATGTATGTATGTATGTATGTATGTATGTATGTATGTATGTATGTATGTATGTATGTATGTATGTATGTATGTATGTATGTATGTATGTATGTATGTATGTATGTATGTATGTATGTATGTATGTATGTATGTATGTATGTATGTATGTTATGTATGTATGTATGTATGTATGTATGTATGTATGTATGTATGTATGTATGTATGTATGTATGTATGTATGTATGTATGTATGTATGTATGTATGTATGTATGTATGTATGTATGTATGTATGTATGTATGTATGTATGTATGTATGTATGTATGTATGTATGTATGTATGTATGTATGTATGTATGTATGTATGTATGTATGTATGTATGTATTATGTGTGTGTATGTATGTATGTATGTATGTATGTATGTATGTATGTATGTATGTATGTATGTTATGTATGTATGTATGTATGTATGTATGTATGTTATGTATGTATGTATGTATGTATGTATTTATGTATGTATGTATGTATGTATGTATGTATGTATGTATGTATGTATGTATGTATGTATGTATGTATGTATGTATGTATGTATGTATGTATGTATGTATGTATGTATGTATGTATGTATGTATGTATGTATGTATGTATGTATGTATGTATGTATGTATGTATGTATGTATGTATGTCACTTTTCCCAGAGAAAGTTTTTATATATATATACACACAACATAAATACCAGGCTCAAAAACGCTCAGGGTGTAATAATCACCGATTGTCAGTCTATTTTTTATGGACACAAATCTATTGATCGCGTGTATTTTCTTTCCAAGTAGCTAATATGAAGCTTGACTGTTAACATTTACTGTTGCAGTGATTCAGAAGGACACTGGTAATGCACGTAAAGCACACTTAAAAGGTTGATTAATTTGACCCGGTTTTCCATTTTCTCAGTCACGTTTTCTTGACGATTATTTTATGTACTTAATAATTATTTTGTTTGCCTACAAAATACAGGCATTGCACTTTACAGTGAGCCCCGTGAAGCACTTTGCTTCACAGAAATCCTTCTGTTGTAAAAGGCACTATATCAATTTAAATTATTATCAATATTTTCCGGTCAGTTTCCATTAAGGTTAGGGCATTGCCAATGAGGGTATTTGTAGCACTCAAAAATTTTGGGTTTTGATTCACAGGCTAAACTTTTTTTAAAAAAAAATGTTTCAGATAGACCAAAGCTACTTAGATACCATTGAATCCTGGATCAGTAACTCGAAGCACATTTGGCTTCTAGTTTTAACACTTGCGTGGCTTTCAGGAAATGAAAATGAATCTGCCTTGTTGTTGGCATGCTTTCACATTGCTGTCAAACTCTCTCATTTCAGGGATTTGAATGGAAACAACATCACCAGAATCGCCAAGTCAGCCTTTGCTGGATTGAGGCACTTGCGTGTTTTGTAAGTTCAGATCTTTTCAATCCATCAATACATTTGCACGTCTTAATTTACTTCCAGCTGTCTGGTTTGTGTCACAAATGTTTTTGTAACTTAATGCTTTATTTATATTTAATGCTACTCCACAGCATACTCCCTTGTGAATTAAGTGCAGGCAGGAACTAGGTGTTGTATGAGTTAACACAAGCAAGAGTTGGCAGTGGCTCTGAGTCCATAGATCTACACTTTGACATTCTTAATGGCCACCACCCACCACTCGGAGATTAAGACTCTTCGACACCTTACAAAGCCTATTCTCTTTATTAAATTTAAAAGCTTAAACAGTGGGTGTGTTATTTGTAATGATGTAATATTTAATCCTTGCACCTATTCAGTGCTTCAAACCTCATGCTGTTTTGATTATTTACCAACATAAGAGTGACTATGTACTGCAAAGTCCCACTGAGCTATGTTAAGTCACTCATTGCATTTTGCTTCACTTGTTAGCAGTGAACGAACTGTAGGATTCATCAGAGAATTTGTACAGGGCAGAACTGTACAACCTGATCTGAGTAGCCTCATTTGCAGAACATCTCAAGGGAGACTGCAGAAAAATCATGACATTATCGCTTTGTGGGGATAAATATATGTGATTATGTAAATTATCCTTTTTTGGGGGGGAAAAAAAACTTTGCAAAGTATGTTTCATTCTTGTTAATTTTCCCCAAAAACATTCAAACATAGTTCTGGTTACAATTGAATATAGTGCAATAGATTACATCTTCGTGAAATAAAATAAATAAATAATGGAAATGCAAAACAGGTGATATCAGCATCAAGAAGAGAAAGATTGTTTTGGGTTATAATAATGAAACTGGTGGTAAAGCAACTTATAGGAAGTGCATCAAACTGCCTTCTGGTTTAGACTTTTTTTTTAATTAACGTCTCTTTACTTCCTATCCTCTTGCTTGTTTAAAGCCTGTCCCCTGCCCCCCGTTTAAATTCTGACACTGGTCATATCCAACTTTAGCCTTTCACCTGTTGTCAGTTTCCAGTATTCTCAGCGCCTTGGGACATCCTCCCGATGTGAAAGGTGCTATACAAACGTCATTTTGTTGTTGTTCATATTCTTTATTTGTCTATTTACGCACATACTAGTGGAGTTGCCATTCTGTAGCAACAAATATGCTTATTCAAACAGCAAATCTCAATTCATTGGCCTTTTGCCTTTCTGCCACTAGCACATAAAATCCTCTGGTATTAATATTCATTTTATTCACCTCCTAACTGCCCAACACCTGCCTCTCCTGGTGGGCTAGAAACCGAGTTTAAACACAGGACCCAACATTCCTTTTAGATTTTACACATTTCTGCTTTTATTTTATACTCTCTTCCCTACCCACCCCTCCCCTCCCCTATGGTGTTAGGTTTTAAGGTGTCAGTACACAGGCAGAGCAAATTGGCTGTGAAATCTCTGGGAAACACTAGGATAAAATGTGCTGTGAATAAAGGCAGGCCGGCCCCCTTGGTCTGGGTTATGTTTGAAATGCAGTAATTTGAGGTGTTAATGGCTGCCTGATTGTTGATTGTATTAAGATGCCATTGCTTCACTCCTTGTCATCTGCTTCACAGGCAGCTCATGGAGAACCAAATCACCACTATTGAGAGAGGAGCTTTTCAGGATCTGAAGGAGCTGGAGAGACTGTAAGTTTTGTCAATAACATAACTGGGCACGGCAATGTCCAGTAAACCAAAATTTCTAAACTGTCTAGGTTGGGAATGGATAAAATACAGATAGGGGGAAAAAAAATCTTTCACTGGATAATCTCCCAAGTCAAAGGGTCTTTTCCTCTGTCCATTTTCAGTTTGTTGCTTGAGAAAAACATCTGATCTGAAAACCGTTCGATCTGCAACACGGCTTGATAGATAAATGTGAAGCATATCTTCAGGGTTTTAAAAAATGTATTTGCAGATCCTTAGTAAAATGTTAGTTTGAGCTAGTTGTACAGTCAGTCATTGAGTTTTGATTTTTCTGCTGAAATGTTCAAAACTGTTTGTAAGGACATGTGTACACAGTTTGGCTCTGGGTATATTTGTAGTGCTTAACATTTAGAAGTGAAATCTAGAGAACATTTCTGAATTTGCAGTATGATGTGAAACATCAGCTGGTTGTGCTTTATTATTGCCAGTGCTGCTGGTTATTTTGCAGCAACGTAAAGGTTAGAGTTCTCTTTCTATGCCTCTGTATTGTATAACTAGTGTAAAGAATCTTGGTGTAAGAGGCTTCTGGATTTGCGCTGCCTGCTTATTTGAAACTGCAGTTTTTAAAATGTCTAAATAGCCTCTACCAGTGAAAAACGCCATTCAATCCAGGTTACATGATGCATATCCAATGTCTTGCTTTTGCTGATTACCTAAAAGCATGTGATTGCTCACCAATATTAGCCTTATTTAGGAACTGCCTTTGCTCTTTGGAAAGTCTACATCGATGCAATGTAAGTGAAGTACAAAAGCAAACTGTACGAACTCAATAAAATATTTTAACTGGTTTCCTCTGCAAACGATGTCTGTTATTTGTGACAGACAAGTTGTAGAACAAAAAGGTGAAATGCTTTGAATCTTGCTCTGTAAAGCAAGTGGTTATCTTGTTGCTTTCTCGGTGATTTCTTAGACACGAGCATTGTTCCACACTTACTAAAGAATATTTAATTAAGGTGCGATTGACAGGACTGCTGCACAGCACATAATAAAGCCTTAAAACTAAGAACTCATTTTATTTCCCTGCTACAAATTGGGTGATTGCTGGGGCAGGCTGCAGCAGGTGGTCGTGAGGTTTAATTTTCTAAGATGGCTTTTGCTGAGCTTAGTCTTCCTTTTAACACTGCATGGCACGGAAGCTGAAACGACTTGTTGTTCAAATATTTCAGCTCGAGTTTGAGCCAGAGTTTTGACAGGAACAAACGCAATGCAGATTTGATTTGATGCATGGACGCTTCTGGCAACAATACTGTGAGGAAACTTTCCTTAGCATTTCGGGGAAGTGTACACAAACCGTCTCTCCTAAACCCAGAAGGCTTTCATCGCATTCAGATGTGCTGAGATATTAGTGCAGAATGCAGTTACGACAATTTTTTTTATGGTGGCTTGTCCATTCTTCAGCTTGCTCCACTATAGTTGCCTCAGCTGCTGAAAGCGATCTACAACACTCGAGGCCTGACTGATGTGTGTGGGGGATTGAGTTCACCTTTAGCCGTGGAACATGATTTACTGTACAGCCCCTCTGGGCAGCCACAGCTGTCGGTTGCAGAGCAAATATTTTATTTTTGTTGAGAATAAGCTGTGGAAATTCCCTTTGTTAGCGGCTGTCAGATCAGCCCGATGAGATAAGACATTGTTATCCGACAACCAATTCATTCTCTAAGTGGCCTTGGAACTAGAGGAATGGTCTCCTAAAATTTGTATCAACCTGTCATGAATTTCCTACATATTCTTCTTCTATGTTCAATAAAGAATTAAACTATGGATTCTTTGGGAATTCATGGAATTTATCCCATTTTGATTCTGACGTGTTACAATATCCATCCCTGCCAAGTGCTGCGAGATGTTATTCCATGTGAAGGGTGCTTGTATAAATACAAGTTGTTGTTGTTGTAGCATGTTCTCAGATTACAGTGCTGTTGCAGCTCATTTTCGACTTAAGACATGTTCGCATGATTCTCTTACACAATAAGTCCCTTGGCTCCCGCTGTGGTTTAGGGGAGGCACAATGTACAGCAGAATTGATGCTATCCCTCAATGAAGGAAACTCAAAACAATGCAACTCACCTTCTTCTTGCGGTTGGCTCAAATAGGCTTAGTTTATTTGCTACGTGCTTTTGCACAAGCCTAGTCCAAAGCCCTGGTTGATTTTTTTTCTGCAGGATTGGCTTAGGAAAAGAGAATGTGAGATGAATTTGTTTGTTTTATGTATTATACTGGTAATGATTCAAAACCTAAGGCCTGAAACCTCTCACTGTCGTAGTGTTCAAATTATAATCCTGAAACTTTAAATTGTGCAGAATTTGGGAAATTTTTATTTGGAAGCAAGTTTTCCAAGAGTTCGCTTTAAGAATTGCAGGAAAACCATCATCTAAATCAAGACTCAATTAGGAATTATACAAACTCTTACATTTCAAAGCAGTGGTTTTAAGGCTAAACCATGAGACATTTTAGGCTTCTGGTGCAGTCCAGAAGTAGATAGACATCATACCCTACAAACTGGAAGGTTTCAGATTCAAATCCTCTTCTGTGTTAGCTGATTTCAGCTGAGGCAACAGTTAAGACTTTACAGTTAACTTCAACTCCGCTGGAAAGGTGACTAATTGTAGGCGAACATGGCAGCTAATTTTCTTACAGAACACAGAGGCCATGGGAACTTAGAACCAGAGTTCTTGTTCTAGCCAGAGACTCCTGCTGGAAGCTGTATATGTGCGCTAATTGGGTTAGGACAAGAATAAATCTGAAACAAAAACAGAAATCACTGGGAACACTCAACAGGTCAGGCAGCATCTATGGAGAAAGGAAAGTCGGTCAACAAAATTGTTGCTGGGTTTCCCCTTAGGGTATGGAGATCATAGCAGTCACTGTACTGTAGTGCTAGGAGAGCTTCTTGCTTTGCAGAGGTACCACCTTTGGATGAGGTGTCAAATTGAGGTGCTGTCTGCCTGTTCAGGTGAATAATAATAATCTCATGGCATTATTCACAAAGAGAAGAGAGTTTCTCTCAGTATCCTGCCAACAATCCTCCAGATAAAATTGGTCGTTCACTTCATGGTTGTCTATGGGACATTGCTGTGAGCAAATTGACTGTCGTGTTTGCTTACAAATCGGTAATCACTACACTTTGCAGAAAACTCTGAAGTGTTTTGAGGCATTTCAATGTTCAGCGCCTTGTGACTGCCTCCTGACGTGAAAGGCGCTTTATAAATGTAATTTTGTTGTTGTTGTTATTGTTGTTCTATGTCCTACATCAAATGTCAGGATTCTTCTTATAAAATGAGGGCAGGAATATGAAGTCTTTGTTTATACACAGAAATGTACAAGCTTAGGAAAAAAAAATCAGTCTGTCTATTCATTTTCATTCTCTATAATCTTGCTTTCTCACTTTCAGCCACCCTCCAATTTAACATCCTTCCTTTTCTTCCCTGGTTCTGTGGTTCTCTCGGCACCGGCCCCCTTCTGGTTACTGGCCCAAGTGGCCATTCTTCATATGTTAGTCTAGACAGTGAGTGTCGGCAGGTTATTTGACTGCGGGAGGCATCACAGCCGAGCGTGATTCTGTCCCCATCCCACATCCATAACCCCTTACTTTCCAGCTGGGGGTCACTAGATAGTGATCAGGAGCGAGAAGCCTGACTAATTAAAATTGAGACTGTATAAGGGGGGTGGGGGGGGTAATAATTGCTCAGATTGATAGAAATAGTAGGCGAGAGGAAGCTCTCTTGGGCTTTGGGGAGCAGCTTCTCCCCTGAGGCTTTATTGTGGCTCAGTGAGCTGGTGCAATTGTCTATTCTTTAACTTCGAACAAAAATACTGAGGACGTGCAGCCCGGGAACTCCAGGGGTAGTGAGTTGAAATTTAAGCAAATGGACCTGAGAGCTTGAATCCAGTTTTGACCATCTCACTTTGCCAGTTCATAGTTGAGCTGCTTGCGTTACACAGCAGCTGGGTGTACGTTCGAGCAGGAAGCCTGGAACAAACTGGCCAGCTCAGTCTTCCCTTCACAGTAGTTAGTCTCCTGCAAGCTAATCGTGATGGAGCCTTGACAGCAGGCGTGAAGGAATCAATCGTGGTGAAGGAGGAGGCCTGGAGCAGAAAGGCTGCAATAGGGACCATAACGAGGAAAAAAAAGTAGGGAGGATAGAAATAAATAACAACACAGTACATGTCCTGGAAAAGCAGGAATTAATTTGACCTGGCGTCAAATTCAAAAGCATTCGGCAGTGTCTGCCTGCTAATCTGCTGCATGTTCTGCTTGTTTCTGGTCATAATAGACCTTGAACTACTTTCTTTCAGCCCTTTAATTACTTTCTTTTTGTAGTTCAGAAGTGTCAGACAGTCAATGGCAGTGAAAAAATCCAATTTTTTTTCCAAGCCATTGCCTGAAACCACAACAAATGCTGATGAGAAGATTAAACAAGACCTTGTTGAATGCAGACAGCTAATGGAAAGTGACAAATAGGGCACCTTCAATGAAAAGAATAGAATCCAATCCTTTTGTAATTTGCTTGCTATTTGCTTGCCAGTAGCTCACATCAGGCAGGTGAATGCTGTGGTACTGCTCCCTGCAAACAATTCCATAATGGAAATAATAATAATAATCCTTGCATTTGATATAGCGCTTTTCACGTCGGGAGGACGTCCCAAAGCGCTTCACAGAACACACTGTAAAGTGAATTGACTGTATATTTGTGGGCGAACGCGGCAGCCAATTGCGCACAGCAATGTCCCACAAACAGTCGTAGATTGAAAATGACCAATTTATTATTGTTTTTAGTTTTGGAGGGATTATTATTAGGCGTGTGGAGTAAGGAAACTTGCCCAAGGTTTCGCCCTCTGCCTGGAATTGAACTCAGGTCTCTCACTTGCAAAGCGAGTGCTCTAACCACTGAGCTACAGGACTCCACCTGTAATGTGGCTTTGGCGTCTGTGGTTGAAAATTGCAT